AAAATTAGGAGGTTTGGCTAAAACTATTCAAGGCACTTGTTAGACTATAGTCTGGAATGCAGTAAATAATTTTGGCTCCTTAACTAGGGAAAGATACGCTGACGTTAGAGGTAGTTAAGAGAAGTTTCACTCGACTGATACCAGCTACAGAAGTACTGTCTAGGAGGAGAAGCTGAGTAGGTTGGCCCTGTTCTCATTGGAATATATAAGAATCAAGTAATCTTACTGAAACATCCAAGATTCAAGAGCTTGACAGGATGGATGGGAAATGATCGTTTCCCTTGTGAAAGAGTTTAGGGCCAGAGAGCATGGTCACAGAAAACGAAGTTCCATATTTAAGACACAGATGAAGAGAATTTCTTCAAAGGTTAGTAAATCTCTGGAATTCTTCACCACAGAAGACTGTCGAGGCTGTGTAATTAAGAACATTGAAGACTGAGTCAGGCAGATTCTTAATCATAACGAAATCATGGGTTACAGGGGAAAAAAGCCTGAAAGTGAAGTTGAGGATTATCACATCAGCCATGACCTCAGTGAATAATGGAGCAAACTCAATGGGCTGAATTGCATACTTTATCTCCTAAGTTTATCTACAAGTTCCATAAGGTTTTGATAGATCTTTCCAGTAATGAATTTCAAAGAATCACTATTTTGAAAATATTTCCCACCTCAATTCCAACGGCCAACATTTAGTTTGAGACCGTGGATTCTAGATTCCCCAACTGAAAAAAGCATTTTCAGCATCCATCCTGAAAAGCTTCATAAGGATGTATGTTTGAACTAGATTACATTAATGTGTTACTTTCCATGGAATATAGGCAATGTTGGTTAAATTTCTTAACATTATACAATCCTCTCATCTGAGGAATCAATTGCATGAACGTTCCTTGTACTCTCTCCAAAGCAATTAAATTCTTTGACACAAATATAGAGTGCTGGGTAAACTCAGCAGGTCTAGCCTCATTGGTAAACACAGAAATTGAGTTATTGCTTCAACTCAAACCATTAAGGCTGTTCTTCCTCTCTCTATCGATGCTACCAGACCTGCTAAATTTCTCCAGCACTTTCTAGTTTTGTTTCAGATTTCAAACATCTGCAAATTTGTTTTACTTCAACTAAATCCTTCCATCAGTAAGGAGACCAAATCTGTCAGAGTACCTGCAGCCACATCAAGGCTCTACAAACTATATTAAGACTTCTTTATTGTCCTGTGCAAATCTCTTTGCATCAGCAGCTAACAAGCCATTTGCTTCTTTAATCACTTGCTGTACACCTGTGCATTAACATCATGATTTTTGCACAAGGACATCCAGGTATCTCCAAATACAAGCTTTCCTGTCGTGTAGCATGTTGAAAAGTTCCGTGCTTTTGCATATCGCCTTCCAAAGTGGGCAAGTTCAAATGGCCAACACAATATATCTGCATGTTTCATGGTATAAAATAATAAGACTTAAGAAAAAAAAGCTAAGAAAGAAATAATACAGTGGGGAAAAAATTAAGCTAATCTAAATCATCTTCAATGGGGTGAGTGAGTAAATGAAGCTTCTAATTTATAAGTGTTAATGATGGAATAAAAATTAACAATTATCGTTCCCTTTGGTAATGTGGCATCATCCTAAAAGAAGCAGCAAGATAATGGAGGAAGCAAAATATTTGGAGGGGTAATTGGGAGAACTATCTTCAGAATTGGCACTGTACCTGAAAAGGTAATGGAGGTTGAATTTACAAATAGCTTTAAAAGGGAGATGGGCAGGTACTTGAGGAGGCGGCTGCAGAGAAATAACAGTGGTATGGAACTCAGCACAACTTCTCTTTCAAAGTGCCAGCAAAGACACAATGAGCCAAATGCCCTCTGTCCTGCGCTGCAGATTTCTGATTCAAAGGTGAAAAAAACAAAACAAAATTCACCATGATCTGGTCAAATTCAAATTAATGTCTCTCATTCACATCCCACTCTCACGTCATAGCTCCATGACGCAATCACTCCTGTTGACTCACATAAGGAAAACATGACAATCCAGCAGGCTTCAGCTTTTTTAAGTCATGGCATTTTAGGACGATGACATGTACATTATTTTCGCATGTTATAGTGAACAATACTCCATATTTTTTATTACAAATGAAAGATTTTTGTGCTGAACAATGATTTAAAACTGAACGCTTTGAATGAAAAACACACATTAATACACTGGCATTTTTCTGAACTCAGTATTACAGTCAATTTTGCTTTTAAAGTGTCTTTTTAATGGAAATCTGCCAAATACACATTTCTCTTGCAAGAACGATAAGCACGAGTACTTTTGCAATTTGGCAACAACATTTTTACAATTGAAAATTTTATATTAACAAATCACTAAAGCACCTCTAAAAGGAAAACAAACTCTCCTGAACACAAACCACTATAAGCTACTTTTTCAACTACATATACTGATTATGCACTCATCTCCATCAAATATCTATCATACTGTAGCCAGATTAGTACAACCAGAATAACATTATGCTCTAAAGTACATAACTCATGAAAAAACTTGTTTGCTATCAAATACCAGACCTGAAGGAATAGGGGCGATAAAAATCTAATTGTGAATGGTTTTCAAAAAGAGGGGAGAAAGGCAGTGTAACAACAGCCTTCCAGAATGAAGAGGCAGAAATGGGTATTTCGTGCTGAGATGAAAGGGTACAGAGTTAGAACTGGATGCTTAGAGGAAGCATAAAGGACAAGTACTCAATCTGGTTGTTGGGCTCAGAAGGATCATGCTCATGGAGGGACTTGATCAGGGAAAAAAGTTCCTAAAATTCTCTTATAGATGAAAAGGGAGGCGATGAAGGTTGGTGAGAAGACCAACAGGAAAGCAGAACCTGGAACACAGTTAACATATATGAACTTCACTTTCAGGAACACAAACTATCATATTTGGATAGTAAACATATTTCTCCTGCAGCATTTTTTAAAATCAGAATAAACTGATTAATTTAGAAAAAAAGTGAACTTTTACCAGCCTATGTTTTGAACTCTCTAAATCAAATTATATTGCAATCATATTCTTATGTCATACCTCCACAAAGTCAATGTCACACTGCTTTGAAACAGTAGTGTTGCAGGAAAATTTGGCAGCTAATATGCACAGCAAGATCCCTTAATTAGCAATGAAATGATGCACCATTCCATTGTTTACAATATTGGTTGATGCATAATCGATGGTCAGGAGATCTGGCAAAGTGCCTAGTCTTCCTTGAAGTATCATGGGATCTGTAACAATCATTTGAGAGAACAAACAGGGTCTTGACTTCCTGTCACGTCCAAAAGACAGCAGGGCACAAGTACTAATCCATCAGCCAAGATTACCTGCTTAGGTCTTTGGAATGGTGCTGAACACACACATCTATGATTTAGGTGAGTGTTATGCAATGACTAAATCTGGCACAATCACATGTATAAAATACAAGTCAGAAATCAAAATGCCAAAGTACCAGAACAGTGTACAGAACCTGGAGCAGATTTTTACTGGACTTATTTGGATATTAGTTGGAAAGCTCAAAGAATTCAATCAACATACGCTTTTTTTTCCTAAGCAGATCTTGTCACAAAAACTGAACTTTTCCCCAGTATTTCAACTCTACAGGCTTTAAAATACCACATGACCAACAACCAAATTCCAATCACACCAACTGATATTTTATGGTGAAGTCAAAGTATCAGTTTGGTATAGAAAATTTTTCGGAAGTCTAAGTATTGAAAACAAAGCAATGTTAAAGATATTTTTGGAAGGATTCCTTTACTGAGATCAACTGAAACTCATTGAAGATCCAGGCCTGAATCTGCATTGAAAGGTAAAAAGGTTAACCCCAAAAGGTAATTACGGGCAACTGACATTTCATTTATTGAAGATGACACTGGCAATACAATCTAAATAAAACTCCTTTTACTTAACCAAAATAACATACAATTTAGTCTCCATTGTGTTCTCAAAATATTCATCAAGTCACTGACATAATTGTCATTAATTTGTTCACTGATGTTCTGGATTGCTGTTAGCAGATGTACCAGTTCCTAACGTACTGCAAATTAGTGCAGTGTCATAATTTGGCATGTTTAACACTGGGCATTGGACCGGACACCTGCACATATCAGGTTAAAGTTTTACTTTATCAAGCACAAAATTTAACAACTGCAATTTTCAGAATTAAAAATCTCATGCTTTGTGGCTAGAAAAGCAGTTCAAAAAGAATGGTACTACTCAGATCTGAAAGTTTAATGCCTGTCCACTCTTTGGATAGAAAGAACATTTTTAAATAAATAACCTTTTTTCAGATTATTTGCTGTGTTTGGCTTTGCATTGTATGTGTTACAGTCCAACATTTTTTGTTGGCAGACACCATCCAAATCACGATGTTGCAAAAGAACAATCTTCTTTTACTTGTATGTGACAAAAGCAAAGGAAAATAAAAGGAAACCACAGTGCATAACTAAAGACTGGGTATCAATGGTGACATGAATTGTGCATCATGTACTGGCTAAACAAACCCAAGCCAAACACAAGCTAAATGTCTTAACAAAATTTCTCCAGATCACTGAAATAGCACAACTGTCATACACACATGAAAATGACATGCTTAACGTTTCTAATTCCTGCTAAATTGCTGTGCCCTGTGGCTGACACTCGGATATGCAACATATACTTTAACACGTTCAGCGCAGTAATACTGTCAAAAAGAGTCCATCTTCCTCTCTCAGCTCCTCATATTAATAACACATTGTTTTAAAAAGAGACCGCCAACTAAACAAATTAGAACAACGTCTTAAATAAGTGTCAAGCCGCTGGGGGGAAAAGAACATAGAATTAAGTGCCTGATGAATTAGAACGAAAGTCAAGACAAACCTCTCCCCGATTTCTCTTCTATCTCTCTCCCTCCCTCTGTCACCCAGGCCGCTCTCGTTGCTGAGAAGCCGCTGCCGCCGCTTGGACTTACTGTCCCCTCCTTTCTGGGCAAGGGGCGGGTGTTACGGGGAAGGGAGGGGGAAATGAAGGAGATGGTGTGAAAGAAAATAATAAATAAATCTCCAGTGCGGGAATTCAGAATCGCCTCAACCTCCGCCTCCCCCGAGCTGCCTGCTGTCCCCTCGATGTGAGTGACTCTTCAGGATCAAACTGTGCCTCTGACCTCCCCCCTCCCCACCTTTCCTCCTCTCACTCGGTCTTTTCCCCCTCTCTTTTTTTATTTCACAAAATGGCGCGCACTACAAACCTGCGCAACAGCAAACACCTCCTCGGCGCCGCCTTTTTTCAAACCCGCTTTACACCTCCTTGCGCCGCTCGCCAGCCCGACTTCTCCGGCCGCACCGACCATTCAACTTTCTCCTCCCGCTCTCCGAATCTCCCGATCTCGCCTTCGGAGGGAGGAGGGAAAAAAATCAGAACGGAGGAGGAGGAGGGTAGGGAAGGTGGTGGTGGTAAGGAGGGAGTGGGTGAGTGAGGGATAGAGAGGGGATAACGTAAGAAAGGTAGAGTTGAGAGAGAAAAAAAAATACCCCCTCCCCGCGGGTTAAAAAAAAATTCCGAGGCGGGAAAGCCCTGAAAAAAAATTTTTCTCTCTCTTCTCTCTCCTCTTAACAACAAAATGGCGGCGGACGGAGCGCGTTGCTATGGGGACTGTCAATCACAGCGGGTGCCCCGGATGAGCCCTTGACGTCAGCAAGGGGAAAGGCGGGGCCAGGCGCCGTTGAGGATGTTGCCGGCCGCAATGCCCCGGATGCTGCACTGATTAACGGGGTGGAGTCTGTTGCCACGGGAAACCGTCAATCACACCCGTCTCCACCCTTTCTCTAAACCCGAGGCCCAAATAACCTAGAACCGCAGAAACTCTTGTTGCAAAGGGAGTGGTCGCCCTCGAGAACCTGATGGGGTTCTCTGTGTGTATATTTTTCTTTGTAACACGCTTGCAGTATATGCAAAGGTTACACAATTGAGGTTTCTTTCGTATCTTGCTCTGTTTTTCTCTATTTTTTTGTGTTGCTCCCTTTAACAGAATCATAGTCCTTAGTCACCAGATTTTTTTTGCTAGAGTTGCCGAACTTTTCATCAAGGATCCAGACTCCCCTTCTTCTCCTACCCCATAAGAACCCAAAATACAACTCGAAACTTCCCTTCATTGCGTCCCTGAATACTGACCTATATTGGTCACTGATTATTTTGAGATTGGGGGGAGAAAAGGCTGTGCGTATGTATCTGTGAAGTTTTATTTATGTATCTTTTTTAATTGCGGATGCCTGTTTCATTCGCGCACCTTCCAACAGCAGTAGAGGGCAAAAAGAGATGTTTCGAATGAAGATGACCTACAAACACACTGAAGTACACAGACGCTGTGACAGAATGGGCTTGCCGCCTATTGAGCCGTTTGCAGAGCCGCACGGTTAGATAAACGATGGAGAAAAGCCCATAACTGAATTTGAACACTCAAATAAATGTCACTGGAGGGACGAAAATTTACTTGATATCCCCCGCCCCCTGCAATCAATACCGGAAAAGCCGCAGCGAATAATGGTTTAGGACATGTATTGACATTTGCTGCTAAAAGTATCCTCTCATTGACTTTTTTTTATTCTGGCAAGAAGCGTGATACGGTACTTTCATCCTCCAACAATACCTCCAGTGACAAAACAACGATTTTACATACATCGTGTGACAAGTAAGCGGCTCTTCGCTTCATTTCTCATCAACTGGCGTGGCATACACAGTTTTAACGAGTTACGTTCCGGCACATACTGCAATGGTCTGGGACTGGTCGGGGAGACGGTCTCAGGCTATAGGTGAGTGGAAATGTAGCCTCGTATTTTTGAATGGTGATACTTAATAAAACAACACGACTTCATGGTTAATTTATTTCGATTGCAATATTGCATTTATACCCGTGGTTCTATTTATGGAACATCACTCCGTTAATATTTTTTGAGGAGACGAAAAAGGTGTGTGAAGTAGATCGCCTCTTGATCAAAAGCACACAGTGCGGTGCCGAGTGAGTGACGCATACCTGAATAGTCCCAGGTCAATGCCCATTTTCTGTTAGCTAGCCCCAGTTTCGGCAGCGATAAAAATCATTGTAATAATTCTCACTATCCCTTTCCCTACCTGAGCATGCCAGATTTAGCACGCATACTTACAGGCAAATAGATTACTGATACTTGCCATCCATGCTGTCACATTGACTTGAACACTGGAAATTAATGTCGAAATGCCCCTTCCAGAAAGTCGACATGTCACAAACAGGTATCTTTGATCTTTGAGTTTTAGTGTAGCTTTGTATATATACTGAGACAACAGATTAATTGACATTTAGCAGGAGAATGAGTCTTCCTTCTCTCCACCTACATACAGTCACGACAGCGTGGAATCTGTCACATGAATGTTCTGAAGAGAACCCCAGGGGTATTCCTGTGAGTTGCCCCCCACAGGCCACTCGGGGGTGAGGCTGACTCGTCTTCCTAACCTTGCGATGAACAGCTGCAGCACAGTGCTCCATTACCAGCAAACTCGCGATTTTGATACGGAGTGAATTCAAACAAAACTGAATTGTGATCTGAATACATGGCGAAACGCGTGCTGAGAGATCCAGTGTATTATCTGCGATGCCCAGACTACGTTTTATAAAAAAAATCTTTCAGTCACTTGCTATGCCAGTGGAATGTCTTGCAGCTGAGATTAAAAAGAACAAGCTGTTCCTTCCCGTGGCCATTGATCCAACTCAGCTCCTAGCAGACATTACATGTATTTTGCAAATTCCCAGAAGTACCTCGGATCGACTAGTTGAAGATGTGTGCAAAGCGTTCCTTTACAGCTTATTAAAGGCTTCTTTGCAAGTCGTAGATTATCTCGTCTGGTTTAATGTTGTTCTCAGGTTAGATCCCTTAAGGATGTAGCGGTGTTTTTTACATATAATTTAGCCAGTAATACTGTTTCCAGAGGGAAAAAAAACTTGCATTTTGCTCTCGCCAAAATGGCATCTATTTTAGCCTCGCTAATTCTGAAATAAGATGCATTGCAGCAACTCAACACAGTTCCTTACATATCACCTCCCAAACTCACAACTTTTGGTCTTAATTGAAACTCACCACCAGTCACCTTAAGAAAGACAAGGGCAGCAGATGTTTGGGAACATCACCATCTGCAAGTTCCTCTTCAAGCCACACACAATCTTGCCGTGGAAGAAACTAACTGTTCCTTCAGTGTCTCTGGATATAATCCTGGAACTCACTCCCTAACAGTACAATGGTGTTCCTATACCCAAAGGACTTCAGCAGTCCAGCATGCAGCAAAGCACTTATTCTCAAGGGCAATCAGAGATTGGCAATAAGTGCTGGTCCAACCAGTGAAGTCCACATCCCAAGAGTTAATGCTTTTAAAAAAAAATTCCCCAGTCTATCCATTTGGATCCCTAAATAGCCTTTATGTGGCACTGAACACAGCCTCTGTAATGTGTGGCATTACCACCATGAATGAAGTAGATTTAAACCAGACCAAACCAAACTCAAAGCAAAGCATTCCTGGAACATTGTGGGCCAACAGCAGCAGAAGAATTGTGTTCAACCACAGCCTCTAACATCATGGCCCAGCATACTACCCACTCTAACACAGAGCAGAATCAGAATCTGTACAGAGTGGAGGCAAGCCATTCGGCCCACTGAGTCCACACTGACCCACCATAGAGCATCCCACCCAGACACACACCCCTATCTTATCCCTGTAACCCCACATTTCCACCTAGCTTGCACATCCCTGGACACGTTGGGCAATTTAGCATAACAAATCCACTTAACCTGCACATCTTTGGACTGTAGGAGAAAACTGGAGTAACCAGAGGAAACCCATGCAGACAAGGGGAGAATGTGCAAATTCCACACAGACAGTTGCCCAAGGCTGAAATTGAACCCAGATTCCTGGTGCTCTAAGGCAGCAGCACTAGCCACCGTGCTGCCCCTATTATCATTACCATTAAGCTGGGGAATCACCTCTGGTTTAATGACAATTTTTGGAGAACATGTGAGGAGCAGCACCATCTACACCTAAAGTAAGATATCAGTCTGGTGAAGCTACAATATAGGATATCATGATTGTTAAGTAGGAGAGCTAAGCGATCCCATAATGATAAATCAGATCGAAATATTTCTGTTTTGCAATATCCAGTTACAATTAATGGTGGATTGTTAATAGGATGAGAAGATACCATGAACATCTCCATTCTTGTTTATGACAGAGTCCAGGACATGAATCTGAGAGATAAGGCTGAGAATTTTACCACCGTCTTCAACCAAAAGTGACAAATGGGTGAACCAATGTTGTCTCTGCTTGGCATCCCCATCATCACAGAAACGAGTCTTGATCAATTTACTTTACTCCCCATAATATCAAGAAACGATCCATTGTTTGTATTCCATAAGGGCTATGGAACTAACAATGTCCAAATTAGTGCTAAAGTCTTGTGCTTCAGCACTGGCATCTATATAATGAAGTGGCAAGTTGCCAAGGTATATTCTGTTCACTAAAAAGCAAGACACCTATAATCCAGCATACCATCCTGTTGTCCTCCACCTGATCATTAGCAAGGTGATGAAAGGGTGTGGTACTCACCAATGACCTGTTTACTGATACTGAGGAGTTGGCCAGAATCACTCAGCTCCAGACATCAGCATATCCTTGGTCGGAACATCAACAAATGGACTGAATTGTAGAAGTGAAATGTAAGTAGCTGCCTTTGACAGCACAAGGCAGTATTTGACCAAGTAGGGCCTCAAGGAGAAAGTTAAATCAATGGGAATAGGGAGGATAACTCCACACTGGTGGGATCACATCTCGCACATAAGGTTATTTTGATTATCCTCGGCCAGATCTAATAGGTATTTTCTAATCAATCTGTTCATAAATGTTATTAAACACCTCTGGATTAGGTAGGACTTTAACCCATTCTTTTGATTTAGAAGTAGGGACACTATCACTACACCACAAGAGCTCCAATTTTCTCATGGTAGTGTCCTAGGTTTAACCATCTTCAGCCGATTCATCTTGAGCTTCCTTCCAAAATAAGGCCAAAACTGGAGATGTTCGCTGATGATTGCAATTCAGTTAAGCAGTCGCTGTTTGCATGCAGCCTGACTTGGGACATAATTTTGGCTTGAGTTTATAAATGACAAATAATACTCACGGCCAGGTAAATGGCAGAAAGTGACTATCTCCAACTAAAAAAGTATAACTATCTCCTCTTGATATTCAATTACATTATCATAATTAAATTCTCAAGTCTCAAAATCCTGGGTGTCACCATTGATCAGAAAATTTAGCAGACTAGACACACAAATGCTGTGACGACAGCAGCTGTTCAGAGGCTGGTAATTCTGTCATGAGAAACACACTGCCTGACTCACCAAACCTCTCCACCACCTACAAGGTGCAAGTCAAGAGTGTTACGGAATATTTGCCACTGAACCAGATAACCGGAGTGTTAATTGTATCAATACAGTTAAGCATATGTAGATGGGGTGGCTTTAATTGATTCAATTGACCTTAAGCACATTAAAAATATTTAGAGATAGTAAGAACTGGAGTCAGAGATGACATAGTGTGGAGCTGGAGGAATACAGCAGGCCAGGCAGCATCAGAGGAGCAGGAAAGCTGACGTTTCAGGTTGGGACCCTTCTTCAGAAATGGGGGAGGGGGAAGGGAACTCTGAAATAGCTAGAGAGAGG